TCCCAACGTGAGATGTGGCATTTGTGCAGCGTGGCTCAATCCCCTCATCTGCTCTGGCTGCGAGTGGAGCTGATGGCATCCTGACGAAAAGTCATCGTTCTTCAATCTGGGCTTGATATAGATTTGGGCAGCGCGTGTGTACACACGCTATATAATACTCGGTGCTTATCGAGTGCCTTTTTTAGCTATTGACCGCAGCGCTTGAAAAGCTGAGAGAGATTAGATAAATATTATCCTTGTCGTATGAGGAGAGTGAAGGGAGGCCAGCGACATTAAGTAGCCTTGAGCTAATCACTTGGCAAATTGGCGTAAGCTGCTCCTTTTCACCTCTGCCTCACGCACATGGGACAAAATGAGCCTGGTTGCATTTAAATCCCCGTGGATGATGTTTTCACTTCCCTCGTCGCGTTGGCCCTGAGCTGGAAGAGGAGCACGTGGGGCTGTGCAGGCTTGCTGCATGGTGCCACCAGCCCCTGCTGTCAAACACCTCTGGGGGAGTGGTGGGAGCTGCTGTTCTGTTCCCATGGGGATGCTGTGCAAGCTGTGCACCGAGCATCGGTCTGACATCGGTGCTCTGCGAGGCTTTCATCGGGCATTAAAGGCTGTTCTCACACGGAGGCTGGGATACAAGGCAGGGTAGGCGTCCTAACGCCAGCTTGTGTCAGGCTAGCTCTGCATCTGGTGACTGATTGCCTAGGCAAAGAGCTGACTTTGTGATGAGAGGTTAATGTGATGCTGCGTTATGCCAGGAATGTGTTATTATTTTTTTTTATTATTTTTATTTTTGGAGAAGGCACAGTGCAGCTCACCTGTTTTCTTCTTTACCTGGGTAAAGAAGAAAAGGTGGGGGGACACGTTGCAAGAGGAGATAAGTGCTGAGGTTCCCTGGGGATGATGTTAGCTTCTGCTTTCATGAGGACACCAGCACAAAAGGCAAGAGCAGGCTCATGGGCTTTGCTGCTGGCTCAGCGCTGGGGCTGTGGGGGCACAAAGAGGGTGAGGACGGCCAAGGGGAAGAGCTGCAAAACCAAGAGCCTGTAATGCCAAGTGGGATGAAGGCACGTGGAGACTTAAACAGGCTGGTGAAGAAAACAGCGCTGCTTTCCCTTACAGCCCGGTGCTTATTGCATAGGTCACCCGGAGTAAGTGCCCGTCGTGTGCTGGGTCTGAAACCAACAGCAAAACATCCTCGCCACCAGGACTGTCTGAGCAATATATCTGCATCATTTCTGGGACTTGAGTCAGTATCTCTTCAAGGCACTTGAGACAATTTGCCTTGCACTTCATTGCTCGGTACAGACGTGCTGCCTTAGGAGAGCTGACCTTGTGTAATTTATAAGTGATAGCTGGGTGGGTCTGGCTTTTGCTTGTAGAGGAAGGAGGAGTAAATGCCAGGAAAGGAAAAAAAAAGCTGCTTAAGCAAGGACTATTTTGACACAAGACAAAATGGATCTAAGATGCTTGCGAGTCTATTTTGGTAAGAAATGAGCAGAGCAGGGAAGTTGTGGTGCAGCATTTCAGGACAAGTTGGGAAGGCAAAACCCCAGCTACTACTGAACGGGATTTTGTTCGGTCTGTGAAAGGCAGTGCAAGGAGACCTGGGCTCGGCCAGGACCCACCAAACAGACATGAGGAATGAGAAGGAAGCGAGCACTTAAAATGAGCAGCCCTTTCCCCTTTCAAGAAAACGAGCACTGTCATCTTCGTTAGTGATGTATTCCACATGGTTTCGATAATAAGGGTGGGAATTAGTCTAGGTGGATGTGTATATGGCGAGCAGTTCAGGATTTGGGGAGTAGGGTATTGTTCGTGAAGCTATTGCATCTCGCAGAAGAGCAGCTTACCTTAGTAATAACCGGGGAATGTCACGGGGATGTGTTTAGAGGAGCCTGCAGGGAGGAGGGAGTAACCCTCTGCCTGTAATTCATACCTCCAAGCCTGATTGCGGAGAGCAGGGCAGGGCTGGGAGTTGATACATCTGTTTTTTTGGCCTGAACCTTGCACACATGTTCCTGCCAGGTTAATGAACTGAGGCAGAGGAGAAGGGAAGGTCTCTGGTTTGGCCGGCAATTGGGAGGACATGATCTTTCCAGGGCATGCAAAAACCCTGGAAGGAAAAGAGGAGGAACTTGTTGAGAGGCTGAAGGACATGAAGAGGGACTTAAGTCTGAGGAGAGGAGTTTCTTTAGTTGTTTTGCTTTTCTGTGCAACAGCTGCCAATTTTGCAATCACAGCTTGACTCCTTGAACTTTCAGAATAAGATGCATTTTTTGTTTATTTTTTAAAGTGGATTCAGGCAAATCCAACCAGCACAAAGTTACGCTCCTTGCTCAGAAACAAAAAGGAACCAAAGAAAATGTTTTTTCAGGTGCATCTTCGGGGGGCCTGAGAACCAAAACTGGTTTGTCACTTCTAGGAGCTAGGAAGTGACTCCTGCTAAGTTCAAAAAACAGATAAAAAAGGAGAAGAGCTGTTTCTGGGGGCCCTTATGAAGGGAAGTGTCTGTGTAGCGAAAAGGACTCAAAGTCCCTTGTTGACCTGTGCACCTAATTCAGGATGATGTTATTGCCCTTTATTGTGCTGTATGTTAAGCAGCTGCTGTGCTGTGGGATTATCCTGTACGTAAGCGTGTGTGCATTTATTTCCATGGTTGCTTCTCTCGTCTCTGTGTTGTGTGTACGTTAAACAACACACCGAGGGGTGTATCTGGCTCATGAAGCTCACAGGCTGATTTTGGGAGGCTGGAGCAAAGATTGTGGAGGTGTTTTAAACCTGGTGTAATGTCACTTCTGTAGGGGTTAACTGCTTGGGGAGCAGTGGCCATTCTGCCCCATGGGGGATAACACCAGTTTATGGCTCTCTTTTCCCACTCCATAGTTATTGTGCTCCATTTTGTGGACAGAAAGAGATTTAATTTTGAGTCTGGAGTGGGCCAAGATGTTGGTGCTTCTGTCAGATTTACAGCTTTGTCAATATCCCCACAACCTGAATGTTGAGTCCCCAGAAAATTCTGCCTGTGCACGTCGCTGGGCACAGGTTCAGGTCTCGTCCTACCTCTTCTAAAATCGTGTATGTGGCTTTGAGTGTCAAGTCAAAAATAACCCTGCCTTTTTTTAGCAAACACAATCAATAAAACAAGAGCCAAGCTGGCTGCTGCCTCCTCCCCAGCTGTGGTTGCTCCACAGCTCCTGGCTCAGGGCTGCTCCATCCCTGCCCAAAGGTCAGTGCTTGGATGCTGGAGCTCCAGCGTGCCCCAGTGGTAAACCCACGTCCTCCCCTTCCTGCCGCTCTTCTTTTTCCTTGGAGGACACTCTCGTTTGGGTTGGAGAAACACCTTCAACCCATGTGTGTAGCCTTGCCCAGTGTGGCCAGGATGTTTTGTGGCAAGTCCCCAGCAACCCAAACCTGCAACCTCGTGCCCCAGGACCTGAAATTGCAGAGCTGCCCTCTCTCTGGAGACTTTCAGCGAGCTGTCGAGTGACTTGAGTGATGCCTCCCAGTCTGTGCTTTGTTCTGCAAGAGCTTGCAAGGGCCTTTGGCAGGGAACATGAAACGGCTGTGATAATGTCCTGTTTCTCATTCTGTCTGGGACACAGGCGATCCGAGCTGGTGCACAGGTCACTGAGGATGAACCGTAACTTATGCTGTCACGCAGCAGCCAGCTGGGAGTTTGTGCCGTGTCCTTATGCTAATCGTCCTGGAGATGCAGACAGCCACGGACCATGTGGAAAGCAGAGGTGACTCTTGTGGGTCTCTGCTTTCCTTGGATGGTGACAGCAGAGGAGGAATATGCTGAGAATTTAGGTTTAGTCCAGACTTTTATTTATTTATTTTTCTTTAGCTGGGTATTATTTGGGATATGGCTCAGATCGGTCTAGATACTGCTGTTTGTTCCTGTACAAACACGTTTTTCAAGACATAATGAGTGCTGGAGGAGGAATGTGTGGCCTCTGTGACTGCTCCAGAAGTGGCTGAAAGTCCCAGTTCCACTTATTCACCCTCTGGACCACTGTATGTGATCCTGCAACCACAGGCGATGGCTCTCAGTGCATCAGCCCCTCTCCGTCACTTGGAAATGTTTCTCCTCTTCACCTCTACCTGTTCCCTAGAAAGACTGTCTTGAAAATGTGTTTTCTGGTGTCTGAGTTTGGTCTGGGACAAAGCCTCAGCTGGCCTGGCTGATGAAAACCAAGCTTCTTCCCTACCCTGCAGCACTGTGGCTTATTAGCAGGGCCCATGGCCATGCTGCAGCCGTGCTCCTGTTCCCCTGATAACAGGGACCCCATTCTCTGGGGCTGCTGCTCTGTCACCTTTCCCCCAGCTCTAATACTTACTGAGTAATGATCCCGTGGTGACAGATCTATTTCTGTTTTCATTCTCCATAACATACCTGCCACAGCACCCCGGGCAATGGAGGAATTTATAATAAAGGCATGGTTTCCAAACTGGCTTTGGTGCTCTCCTGCCAGCAGCACTTCCAGCCAGCAAAGACCAGGAGCCTCCTTGTCCACCCCAGTAGCATAATGGATAAATAGGATTGTTTTTCCTTTTTTTACCTTTTTTTTTTTCTTTTTTTAGAGGTTGTTGTTTACTTTGACTAGTGTTGCATGAGCCGCGTGGCTGTGGCATTATTTCACTGACGTGCACAGAGAGGGGCGATGATTTTGCCAAGGATGTGCAGTGGATTGTTTGCACCTCCTATGCTTGAAATTCTGGGTAAAACCATGTTATTTTTTTTTTTTTTTTCACCCAAAGTGCTGGGAAAACAGAATAAAAGCAGAATGAGAAAACTGCTTATTTTGGCAGCATGATGCATACCACATATGTCTGGGGATATGGATGCTGAAGCCAGAGTGTGTCCAAGCCCCAGACCTTCTGTAAGTTAAAGGTTTTGGCTGAAGCAAGGTGGGAAGAGGTGTGGGGCACAGTGCTGTGCTGTCCTGCCTGGGCAGGGAGATGCTCTGATGTGCCCTGGCTGAGCTTTTCCTCCTCTTTCACAGACACATAGAGAACTGGAAGAACTTGCAGACGCTGAACGCCGTAGACATGGAGCTGTACACGGGACTCCAGAGGCTGTGAGTATGGTTTGCATGTTGGGGAGGAGAGCTGCGCTGCACAGCCCTTCGTTTCCTAAGCAAACAGCTCCAGCCAGGAGCTGCAGCTTCCCTCCATCTCTGCACCGTGGTGTTCAGAGCCTGCTTAAGCTGCTGGCTCTGCGGTGTTTTTGCTGTGAGACTTCACAAAATGGAGATGAAGTGATTTTTTTTGGTCCTTGCTGGATCTGTGAGAAGGAAGATTGCTAGCTCCTGACAGCTCTGTCAACACACATCAGCCCTGACCTCCCTTCTCCCCCGCTGTTCTGGTGCTGGGCTTGTGCATTGTTCTGAGTCATTTCAGTCCCACAATGTGAATTTCCAGCTGTCTCCACCGATCCTTCAATGCTGGGCTGTTGGTTCCCATTTTGTATGGCTGTGGTCACGGTGGGGCTGCACAATAAGGGAATGGCATCTCCCTGCACAGCCCCCTGGAGTCAGGAGAGCCTCATCTTGCCCATCACAGGTGGGGAAACTGAGGTCTGTGAGGCTGCAGTGGTTTGCTAGGTGCTTGGGAAGCCTGGGTACCCCCTTGTCTCTTAAATCCCCCTCCTGGAGCTGGGAGCACCATGGGCTCCACTGGATGCTGCTCCCTTGGGACGCACAGTGCTGCTCAGGGTTAATCATGGGGTGCTAATGGGTTTTGTTGGAAGCTTATGTTAGGTCCAGGCTGCCCACATGCAGGAGGAAAGGTGTTTATTTGTCAGCACCCAGTAACTGCACCCCATTAAGAACCACCTAAGAACCCCAAAACCAGCCACAATGTTTTTGTCTGCAGCAGCTATTGATAAATCCTGGTTCCTCAGAACAGGATGGGAAGAGGATCCCCCTCTGATGTCCACAACTCCTGAGCACAACGCTCACCTCTTCCTCCAGGGCTCCACGCAGAGGGGTTTTCCCTGGGGCTGGGTTTGCTGGGGGGGGGAGCAGGCAGTGCTGCTGGTGGAGACTGGGAGCAGTGGGAGGTGCTGGGGGCTGCCCCAGCTTGTACTGGTGGAGCAGGGGGAAGGGAGTTGCCCAGCAGATGCTCAGTCATGTGGCCACCATATCAGACAAAACTGCAAAACCCAATTTCCTCTGCACTTGGCTGGGATGAGATGTGTGTCCCCGGAGGGCTCCCAGCACTGGGGCGCTGCCTCTGGCACTCACAGTGTGAGGCTTCAGAGCAGGCTTCAGCCTCGATTCCATTGCTGCTCTCTCAAATCTCTTTCCAGGACAATCAGGAACTCAGGACTACGAAATATCCAGCCCCGGGCCTTCGCGAAGAACCCTCACCTGCGCTACATGTGAGTGTGCTCTGCTCCTGTCCCTGTCCCCATCCCCAATGCTCCTGCAGCGAGGCTGTGGCCACAACACCCCAAAGCAGCAGGAGGGAGGATGCTGGAGGGGACAGGGCTGGGAGGTAGCCTTTACGTTGCCAATTAATTATTGCCCCTAATTAATTAATTGCCAATTAATTAATGCCCCTAATTATTGGGTTTGTAAGCTGGCATCTGCCATGAGCATGGGATGGGGAGGTTTTGTGCCAAAGGGCAGGAGCAGTGGTTTTGTGGGATGTTGCACAAGTGCCCAGCTCCTGGGGCACTGTTAGCCATCAGGTACGGTGTCCCAGGGAATTTCCACAAGTTTGAAGCCCAAAGGCACTGATTTCTTCTCTGGTTGTATATTTGCTTTTCCGAAGGTGATAAACAGACCCTGAATTTTGGGAGAGAATGGATGGTGCTTCCTGGGCTTAAAATACCTTGTCAAAGCAACCCTGTCCGAGATCAACCACTTTTTGGCTCTGATAAAGATTTAAAAAAAAAAAAAAAGAAAGAAAAAAAAAAAGAAAAAGAAAAAAGAAAAAGGGTTGGTTAGAAGCCCACAGGCTCAGGCATGAGCTGATGGGCTGGATGAAGAGCATCTGAAAAGCATCTCCCTGCTTTTTAGAAACAGACATTAGTGGGGAAAAAATGGCAGCGTGTGGCTGCATGGGGTCACCAGCATGGGGTGTTACTGGTGGGGGGAGGTGGACACGACCTGCAGGGCCGGGTATGTTTGTCTTTTTAAACTGAAAACCCCCAAAGGTTTTTTTTTTTTTTTTTTTTGAAAAGCAGTTACAGTTGCTAAGTGACGGTAAAGTACTTGCTAAATAGGAGCTCTGCAGTACCAAAGGGCACGAATGGTTAAGGGCATTGCAAACAAACACGGGGCCATTTTGAGTTTAAAAAGTGCATATTTCGTTATAATAAAACCTCCTTGACGCTGAACGCTGGGATTTTCCCCATTTCCGTGCTTTATTATTTTGATTGCGGCGTTTGTTTTGCATTTTCTGTTGATGTTTGTTACTGGGAAACGTTCTCTCTAAAATACATCTCGCAATTGATTTTTGGGGGATAGTTTGTCAATCGTGCTGTTGCTGTTTATGCACATAACAGACAAAAATGAATAACATTTGATTCCTGATGAAATTAGTTTGGTTATCATAGGAGATTAGAAAGATGTACACTCGTTTGGAGTCTGAACGTGTCGTTAAGTGTGTGCACATGCAACTGTTGCTGTTCTCTCAGCAAACGTTTGTTTTCGTCTTTTGATATTACTTTTGAGATGGGGGAAAAAAAAAGAAACATATCCATCTTGTGTCAGGAGCTGAGGTTGGTATGTTGTGATGAAATATGTGTTTGTTTACTGCTCGGGCCGCGTAAGATTGATCATGTTCTTAACATCTTTCTTTCCTTGCCTTTTGAAGCTCGAGGCAAGTAAGTGCATTATTGGGTTGGTGCTCGCCAGTGGGTTTTGATGCTGGCGCTGGCACTCGACAGCGTGGTCCTGGTGTGTGAATATTTGCAAAGTGGCCGCTCCTGGTGGTGGGTGCTCAGTCTCTGGGGGTGGAGACCTGGGTCTTGCAGGGATTTTGGCTCCCTCGAGCCCTTTGGGGCATGGTGCTGGCTTCCTTTTCCTGGGGCTCTCCAACTCTGAGTCTATGGTGCCACCTGTGTGCCCATGGGACCATGCAAGTGTGTTGGGGCATCTCCTCAGCTGCCCTCCAGCTGCTGCTCAGCTTGGTGTCGGCTCGCTGAGGTCCTGGTGTTCTCTGCAACCACTGCACGCAGGTGCCAGGGATAAAAGGATTAATGGAAATGTCATCCTGCTGTATGTCTCAGGCTGCTTTAACTGGTACAGTAGCTGAGAGGATCGAGGGATGCTGTCCCAGTCCCCTTATGGGGTGGTTGTCTGCTGGTGGTGGTGCTGGATGGGTTGTGGGATGCTGGGCTTGAGGCTCGTGGGGTTACTGCTGTGAGTGTTTGGAGGGGTGCAGGCGGCGTTGAGCCTATAGACTCCAAACATGTCCAACAAACAACACGGAGGCTTTGCTGTCAAAGTGGACCAGCACTGGGCTGGACCTTGTGGGGTGCTGCAAGCTGGGTCTGAACCACAGCAGGCATTTTTCCACATGAAGCTTGTGTACAAATGACAAGGACTCAGGAGCTGTTTCCCCCTATCCTTCCCCATCCTGAGTTGAGTCCCAGGCTCCTGCTGAAGTGACTTTTTTTCCCAGTGCCTCTCATCAAGGCTTCCTCCCCTCAGATGGGCCAGATCTCTCTGCCTTCTCCCAGCAGCTTCTATTTCTGGTCCTTCCTCAGTGCACGCACTTCTCTTCAGACCCCAGCTGTGCAATCACAAGCAGATCACTTATCCCTGCTGTAATTGCAGGAGCTGGGGTTTGTGGGGGTTTAAAATAATGGTTCTGGATGAGGTTCGGTGTGTGTGTGTTTGTTTATTCCCCCTTCCCCATTGCAAAGTCAGGGAGGACCAGTGGAAAAACCACGAAGGGGTTTTCAGCATTCATCTGCCTAAGTGGTAGATTTCCACGTGCTCCCGAGTGCAGGCTGGTAGGGTTGTTCCTGACCTTTAAGGTTTGAAATCAGCTGTACAGATGTAAGATGTAAGCTGAACAAATCGAATTGGTAGAGGAGCCAGAATTGGTGACAGGGAGCCAGAGGTGTATACACAGAAATAGCTTTGGATCCCTCTCCTTGAAAGAGCAGAGCTAAAGCTCCACGGCTTGTCCAAACATTACTGCTGTGAAACTGATCACTGTTAGACACAATTAATCCAAAATATAGCTGGGTTTTAATGTGGATTTACCTCTTCTGCTGGCACTTGGGCTGAGGCCATTGATTTCTTCTAGAACAAGCACTGCTTGGATGTTAAATGTGGTGGATGCGGATCTAATGGAAACTGAAGGTCATCCAGTTTACATCTGGATTTTTTTTTTCTGGGCTAAGTTGCATTGACAGGTTCCTGTTCCTATTTCTGTGTAGCTTTGACAGTCTTTTGGCTAATATGGGAAGGGTCTTGGGGAACACCATGCACTGGATGTGAGGACCTGCAGGTCTAGGTTGTGGAAAACCGAGTCCTCGTAGCCCAGATCAGCGTAAATTAGTGATAGTAGGCTGTGCAGAAGAGCGTAGGAGGTATTTAGTGATGACAGAAAGCCTCAGTCTTTGGCTTGAGATGTACAGGGAGGCTTTAGGATGATATAGTTCCTAAATTTGAGACATAAACAATCTAAATGCATACTTACTATGTCACTATATGCAGCACAGCTCATTAAGGAAAAAGTCCTACGTACTCTTACTCTGCCTGTCCTCCTAGTAAGTAACACTGGAACAGTTTGGCCGATTTAATTCAACTTGTTTGCAGTGTCTGAGTGTCCCTGTGCTGGGAAAGAGGTCCTGAAGAGGCTGATCCCCTCTGAATGCTTTCCTGGGCAGCAGCACGCGAGGCCAGCCAGCCAGGAGGCACGGGCTTGTGTTTGCAGAGGGTAATTGTGTGCACCTTATTTATTTATTGTGGAGTAAAGAAAACAAATTAAGGCTGTGTAATTATAGAGACAGGCACACTTTTAAATAAAGCTTAAGTAGTCAGATTCTATTTAGGAAATTAATAATTGCCATTTCTGCTTGCATTTAGAAGCCCTTCTTAAGCTATCTTTGGAGGTTTATACATGCTCTAAATTGGTTTGTGGGCTGGCCAAGACACAGCTCCTGTCAAAGAGCACTCAGTGCTGCCTGCCAGAGCATGATGGCATTGAGGACAGAGCTTTCTCCTCCAGTCTTCACCCAAGCATCTTAAAAATGGAGTCCTCGAGTACAGCCAGAGTGGGCTTCGGGAGTATTTTGTGCAGGCTGCACTTGTTTTTGGAGTATCATGTGGTTAGATGGCCCTCTGATCTCCAGAAGTTTTCATCTGTGTCATACTGCTAGTGGGGTGTGTGTGTATGTGTGTGTATTTATATATATATATTTATTTTTTTCCTTTGACAACCCTCTGCTGCTTTGAGGGTGGAGTTGGCCTCGGTGTTGTGGCCTGGCTCCTGCAGCTGTGCAGCATCATATGAACCTGGTGCCCTGGTGGGAGAAGTAGTCTGGGGCTTTGACACAGGACTTCCCAGGGGTGTTTTAGGATTTGATGGGAAAGAAACTGAGCTGTGTCCCCTGAAAACTGAGGTGGCTCAGGGTTGGCAGGTTTCTCTGTATGTTCTTCAGTGCTGTTTTGGGACAGCACTTGAAGCCTTCCAGCAGCTGAGGCCCGCCTGCTTGCGAGGGCTGCAGGCAACAAATTTGCAAGGCTGGCAAGGTTCACCTTCCTAGCGCTGTGCGTCTGGGAGCTCGATCGAGATCTTACACTAAATAAAGAAATAAACAAAATATCAGACTTTGAATCATTGCAAGTACAGCACCGTTCCCTCTCAGTCATGGCTTGAGGGTCGTTTTCCGTGCTTTGTGTTTAATGATCTATTGCCTGCCTCTAAAAGAGCCACTCGTGGATAGGAGGCAGAGTTAAATTCTCTCTTTTTTACTCTCCTCCTGTAAACAACTCCACACCCTTGGCTGCTTGCAATCCATCGCTTGGTTCTGGATGTACGATTACCCTTTCCCTGTCTTCCTGATGACTTCTCCATGTTCTGTCCTTTCATCACTAAGCTGCTCTCGTATTCATCTTGGCAGTCTCCTCCTAATCCAAACTGTCATGTGTTAATTGTTTATGATTTCCTTTCTGTACTCTTGAGCTACTGCAGTCTAACAAGGCCTGCGTATCAGCTGGGGCACAGTAAATGACTATATGTGAGCTCTTAGCTCTCTGGGAGTATGAAGTAAAATGTGTTTAACTAAACCAGCTCCTTGATAATTTATTGTGTTATATTTTGCGTTTGCAGAGGACTAAATAGGAACTGATTTTTTTTTTTTTTTCCCATGACTGTAGGCAAAAAAAAAAAAAAAAGTAATATGAGAAAAAAATT